TGGTACAGTTACATCCGTATTTGTCGGGCTCGCTGACATTTAAAGCAACAGTCCAGGCAGGGTTTCAACTACTTGGTCATTAGGCGGTCAAAACATGCCCCAGCCCAACTAAAGTTTATAGGAAATGTCTTTAATTTCAAAACCTACCTCTAAAATGCGCTGGAAGGGGTCGAAGTCCTCTTGGAGGGGGCGGATCACCCATAAAGAGGCGGATCGCCCAACATACGCTGTGCAGAGTCCGTGCTTGACTAGCGGTCGTTGCGGGACCGCCGCGCTGTATGAGGTCGATTCCATAAGAACGCAATTGAAGCGCTTCAATTTCGATTGCTGGCAAGTAGTTATGTATTTGCAAGCATGCAGCTATTTGCCAGCAGTTGCAATTAAAGCGCATGTACTACGGGCAGGTTCGGACAACTCGTCCAACACACGTCTCCCTAAACGGCAGGGCATGTCCCTGTCTAAGCCCCAGTTGGGCGTTTTCTTCACTTTTTCTCTTTACGTTCGACCACTTTTCACCTACAACTTCCATATAGGTGCTTTTGGCCCGCAAATTCGTTCCTGGACTGTTGCTTTAGTATATACAATGACAAGTGTCAGTGTCGCGCCCCCCTTTTTGTTTTTTTTTTGTTTTTTCGTTTTTCCCCCGCGCCTTTTGGAAAAAAGTGGCGACAAAGGCGCAAAGATCTGTCCGACCCGCAGCCCACAGCCTTCTCGCAAAGCCTCGGCCGTGCGCGATGTTAAGGCTAAGCGTCGACGCGCATTTCGAGCAGCGCCAATGTTGCACTGGAAAACTAAGAATTGTTCGGGAAAGCACTCAACGCGCCCCCTTTCCTAGCATATGCAAGGTGGAATGCGAGGGAAATAGGAGAGGGCTCTGTGCGGGCGTGAATGACCAGTGTGTTGGGTGCTCCCCGTCTCGTTTCAAGGAGACACGCGGTCTCACGATCTACAGCTTCATGAACTTAGGAATGTTGTTCCACACCTAGGTTTTGGAGGTGCGCTGAGGTCTGTGGGAACAGGTGGAGCGATGATGGAAGTAAGAAACGAGAATCGAGTCTCTATGGCTTGGCGATGAAGAAGCGAGGTCCCAGTGTGTTAGCATCTAGATGTTGATTGTAAATCTTTTATTTTGTCATCCTTCATCAGTTCCACAAATTGGCAAGACAATGAAGTTCGTTTGGGTAAAAGGCGAAATAAGCCATCCTCTTACAGGGTGGTTACAAAGTATGATCCGGTATTCATTTGCATGTAAAAAATAAATAAGATGCACTTCTTCAAATTTTGTCAAATGGTAAGATCTAGATACAGGAACATTTACTCGAGGTACTGTTCGAAATGATCGCCTTTGGCCAGAATACAAGCTTCCAATCTCTTGGTAAAGGCTTCCACGGTGGGCCGCAGGTAGTTGACATCAATCTTCTGCCATTCCCTCTGAAGCGCTGCTTTCAGACTATCCAAACTGCGGTGGGGAGAAGAAGACACTCTGTTGCAGATAGCTCCAAACGGAATAGTCCTTTGATTGAGGTCTGGGGAGTTAAATGAACACATGTCTTTGTCCCAGAATCCAGGAAAATGACGTTGGCAGAAGGAAATCGTAGATTTCGACCCATGTGCTGGCGCCCAGTCTTGTTGCAAAATAAAATTCGTCCTCCAAAGTGTTTATGGGCCCACGGCATCAGTGTGTCCTCAAAATAACATTCTGATAGGTTTCCGAGTTGATTTTGATGTTTTTGTCAACAAAAGGAGAGGTGTCTTGCCTTCTAATGTTATTCCCGGCCCAAACCATCACCGACTTTGGGAACAGGCTCCTGGTTTTACCGTCGTTTTCTGGAGTTTCTCTCTGGAAGCAGTTGCCGCTGGTTCTGGCTGTTGTGCGCGACCTCAACCGTGAAGATTTTCTCGTTGTTCAGACGATGTCTGAAAGGCGGCCCGCACGAACTGTTGACAGAAGATTCTTGCTTTTCTCCAGTCTATTCTTCTTGGCAGCTTGGCTGAGCATCTGTCCTCGAAAGAAGCGGTAACTGTGTAAATCCAGTCTTTATATTGTTTTGAACACTTTTCGTGAGATATGCAGATCCGAAGCGATTCTGTTCATACTGACCTCATCGTTGCGGGAGATCCTCTTCTTGATCGTCTTCCGAATCCATGGAACATTAACAGTCTTGGTCGGCCTGTTTTGGAAGTGGTAGGTAGTGTCCTCTCTCCTGTGTTGAAGCCACAATTCTTCTCATCAATCTGTCGTCAATGTACAGCCTTTTTGCGACTTCTGCGGCGGAACGTCCTTCT